TGTTCTTGGGTAGTTTTTTGATTACAAATTCAATTTTATTCTGGTAATTAGTCTATTCAGATTTTCTGTTTCTTCCTGGGTCAGTCTTGGAAGGTTGTATTTTTCTAGAAAGTTGTCCATTTCTTCTAGATTATCCAGTTTGTTATATAATTTTTCATAGTATTCTCTAATAATTCTCTGCATTTCTGTGGTAGGGATTTTTCCTTTCTCATTTCTGATTCTGCTTACGTGTGTAGGTTCTTTTTTTCTTGATGAATCTGGCTAGTGGTTTATCTATTTTGTTTATTTTCTCAAAGAGAGAATATAACCACTCTTGGTTTCATTAATTTTTTCTATTGTTTTACTCTTCTCAATTTTATTGATTTCTTCTCTGATCTTTATTATGTCCTTCCTTCTACTGACTTTGGGCCTCATGTGTTTTCCAGTTTCAGTAATTGTGAATTTAGTCTCTTCATTTGGGTTTGTTCTTCCTTCTTTTAATAGGCCTCAATTGGCATATACTTTCCTCTTAGAACTGCCTTCACTATGTCCCAGAGAAGCTGGAGCTTTGTGCTGTCGTTTTGTCTCCATATATTGCTTGATCTGTTTTAATTTGGTCATTGATGCATTATTTAGGAGCATGTTACGTTGTTAAGCCTCCATGTGTTTGTGAGTCTTTTTGGTTTTCTTTGTACAATTTATTTCTTGTTTTATATCTTTATGATCTGAGAAGTTGGTTGGTACAATTTCAATATTTTTGAATTTGCTGAGGCTCTTTTTGTGGCCTAGTATGCAGTCTACTCTGGAAAATGTTCCATGTGCACTTGAGGAGAATGTGTCCTTACTTATTTTCTGTCTGGTTGATATGTCCTTTGGAGTGAGTGATGTGTTGAAGTCTCCTAAAATGAATGCATTGCATTCTATTTCCTCCTTTAATTCTGTTAGTATTTGTTTCACATATGTAGATGCTCCTGTGTTGGGTGCATAGATATTTATAATGGTTATATCCTCATTGGACTGACCCCTTTATCATTACATGTCCTTCTTTGTCTCTTGTGACTTTCTTTGTTTTGAAGTCTACTTTGTCTGATTCAAGTATTGCAACACCTGCTTTTTTCTCCCTATTGTTTGCATGGAATATCTTTTTCCATCCCTCCTCTTTTAGTCCATATGTCTTTGGGTTTGAAGTGAGTCTCTTGTAGGTAGCATATAGATGTTTGCTTTTTTATCCATTCTGTAACTCTTTGTCTTTTGACTGGTGCATTCAGTACATTTACATTTAGGGTGATTATTGATAGATATGTACTTATTGCCATTGCAGGATTTGGATTCGTTGTTACCAAAGGTTCAAGGACAGCTTCTTTACTATCTAACAGTCTAACTTAAGTCAGTTATTATGCTATTATAAACACATCTTCCTCCTCCACTCTTTATATGTTAGGTGTCTTATTCTGTACTCTTTGTCTATCCCTTGATTGACTTTGGGGCAGTTTATTTTTCATTTGCTTAGTAATTAACTGTTCTACTTTCTTTACTGTGGTTTTATTACCTCTAGTGACAGCTCTTTCACCATAGGAACACTTCCATCTATAGCAGTCCCTCCAAAATACACTGTAGAGATTGTTTGTGGGTGGTAAATCCTCTGAGCTTTTGCTTATCTGGAAATTATTTAATCCTTCCTTCAAATTTAAATGATAATCTTGCCAGATATAGAATTCTTGATTTGAGGCCCTTCTGCATCATTGCACTAAATATATCATGCTACTCCCTTCTGGCCTGTAAGGTTTCTGCTGCGAAGTCTGATGATAGCCTGATGGTTTTTCCTTTGTAGGAGATCTTTTTTGTCTCTTTGGCTGCTTTTAATACTCTTGTCATTGTCTTTGATCTTTGCCATTTTAATTATTATATGTCTTGGTGTTGTCCTCCTTGGGTCCCTTGTGTTGGGAGATCTGTGGACTTCCATGGCCTAAGAAACTATTTCCTTCCCCAGGTTGGGGAGGTTTTCAGCAATTATTTCTTCAAAACCACTTTCTATCCTTTTTTTCCCCTTTCTTCTTCTGGTACCCCTATAATGCGAATATTATTCCGTTTGGATTGGTGACACAGTTCTCTTTAATATTCTTTCATTCCTAGAGATCCTTTTTTCTCTCTGCCTCAGCTTCTCTGTATTCCTGTTCTGATTTCTTTTCCATTAATAGTCTACTTCATCCAGTCTGCTCTTAAATCCTTCCATTCTTTGTTTCATTTCTGTTATCTGCATCCTAAATTTGTCCCTTAACTCTTGAATATCTTTCTGTAGCTTCATCAGCAGGCTTATGACTTTTATTTTGAATTCTTTTTCAGGAAGATTGGTGATTTCAGTGTCACCAAGCCCTCTTTCTTATGTTTGAGGGATTTTGGATTGAATAAGGTTATTCTACCTTTTCATGGTCTTGGAGTGATGGGAGTTGTTGCTGGTGAGTGGCACGTGTGTCAGCTGGGAGAACAAAGTCCCTTCCTGCTTGCTGGTCACCTTGCCTGTCTCTGTTGCTTGTGCCGGTTAACTGTGCATAGGGAGCAGCCTCTTGGTTAATCCCCTAAACTGCCGTTGGCAGGGCAGCCCTCGGGAAGGCCGAGGGTACTGGTGGAGGTTGCAGGCCAGCAGTGTGTGTCTGCCACAAGGACAAAGCCTTTTTGTGGCTCCCGGTCTCAGTGCCTGTCTCCGCTGTTGGTGCAGTTTACCACTCAGGGAGCAGTCTCTGGGTTAATTCCTTAAACTGCCATGGGCAGGGCGGCGCTCAGGATGACCTAGTGCATTGGTGGGGGTTGCAGGTGAATGGCATGTGTTCTGCCATGAGAACAAAGCCCCTTCGTGCCTCCTGGCCTCCCCACCTGTGTCCACTGTCAGTCACCAGGGTGCAGGGAGCAGCCTCTGGGTCTGGGCCCATTAACTGCTCACAGGGAGAAGCCTGTGTTAAGCTGTGTAGTTGCTGTAGGCCGGGCTGCTCTCTGGCTGCTCTGCAGCAATAATGGGGCAGCTGGTTTGCATGCAGGTGCTGGTGCAGAGAAAGGAACAGCAGGCTGCTTATCATGGTGAGGGGCCTCAAAGCTGTGTTGCCAACCAGGGAGATAGTGTGCCTGAAGCTCCTTAAAGTTCCCAGCCTGCTGGGCTGAGTGTGCCAGGATGATTTTGTCCACCTGTTAAACCCTTGTCCCTTTTAAGACTTTTAAAGCGTGTTTTTCTTCTGTCTCAGGGCAGCTGGCTGTGGGAACTTGTCCACAGTTTTAGTCTTGGACTTTCTCAGCTCTTCTAGTATCCAGAGCACCATACAATGTGTGTCTGTGCTCCCAGGGCAGATTATTACTAGGGCTGACTATTTAGCAGTCCTGTGCTTCCACTCCCTCCCCGCTCTGATTCTTTTCCTCCTGCCAGTGAGCTGGGGTAGGGGGAGTGCTCAGGTTCCGCCAGGTTGCGACTTTGTACTTTATCCTTTTCCATGAGACGTTTACTTCTTGCAAATGTAGACTGGCTGGTGTACTGTTACTTCTGGTCACTCTTTTAGGAATAGTTGTATTTGCTGTATTTTCAAAATACATGTGGTTTTGGGAGATTTCTGCCACCCTAGTCATGTCGCCATCTTTTCCTCTTGTCCTACAGACCACATTTTTAAAGTGAGTCTCCAAAAATGTATTTTCTCACAGCTTTGATTACTAGAGACCAGTGAACAGTGAGAAAACTGCAACTGCTCTTAGACCAGAAAAACATGCAAACTGAGACTATCTAGTCTTCCATGCAGAGGTCATGGGGCAGACGTTGAAGGGCAGAGGGATGTTGTCCACCACAGGCCTTACTAAGCATAAGCCCTAATCAGTCACAATTTGAAAGGCCTTACCTGAAAGTGGTGGAAACATCATTCCTTAAAAAAAGAAGTATGAACATTTTGGTACCCAGCATGGTTCAGTACCCAGGGGACACCAGAGTATATTAAAACCAGCCCAGTGGTCAAAGGTTAACCATTCCTGATGTTCAGGTCTCAAAAGTGAGAAGACACAAGGTTTCTAAAGGCCAAAGGACCACAGCTCACAGAGCTTCCTGTGTGGACTGTGAACCCATGCCAGGTGGGGTACCTGCATCTCCGTTGGGGACTGACTTCAGGCACAGCCTTGAGGGTGCTTGAGGTGCCATTCCAACCAATCACACAGAGTCACGAAGTGCTCTGGGATGGGGGAGGGGCTGCCCCCACCACCATGACAGGGCAATACCCCAAATGCAGCAAGAGAACCAGAGCACATCCTACCAGTTAATTCACGCTTCTGTTTAGGGCATTTCAAACCCTGCAGGCGCCACTGTCTGAAGTGTGGTCTGCAGTGTGTGCCAGAAGCTGCCATGTCCAAGGGCTTTTCCAATGAGAAGCAGGGGGACAGCAGTTTATGGGGTAGGCTCTCGAGCACCCCACATTTCTGCACAAGGTTTTCTGTTTTTTTACCAACAGTCACCCAGAACACAGGTACCATGGCTCGTCAACTGCACCTTTCACTCTATCCTGTAAAGGTAGCTCAACTCAGGGGGAGTGGTGTTCCTCTTCCATGTCTTGAATGACATCTGTCCCATTTCCCTCACCAAAAACCTAGCGAACTTCTGGTTTGTGGCAGCAGCTCTCTTTGCTGCCTTCTCTTTTCTTGACCCTCCCTTCTAGCCCCCTTTTCCCATTCTCCTTCTGTAAACACTGTGTCATCAGATATGACCCCGCTTTCACGGAGTCTAATATAAACATTTATGTGTCATTCCCAAATATATAGGAGTAGTATGCCAAATATTACTCCCTAGAACAATACACCTGTCAGCCCAGTCTCTGACAAGCTGGAGCTAAGAGTACCTTCCTATGTTCAGCCACTCAGATGGGGCATTCCTACTGGGCAATGCCATCTGCTACGTGGAACATTATGAGGTTCTACAAATAATCTGCTGTAGTCTTTGTGGAACTTGCATTGTGATGCCCAACTAGCCCTGTAGTCAGTGAGACCAAACACAAAATACACAATCACAGAAAACATTTCCATTTTAATTGAGAATTGCTATTGGACCTTGAAAGGTTTATCAGTGATATAGTTTTAAATTGGAAGATGGAATTCCTCATAGGAAACTTGAGAATTTCAAATGCAACTTTGAATTTACTACATATTCTGAGAACTCCCATATTCATTGTCTAGAAAAGTACTTTTTGTTTCTACATTATGAGAAGCTATTAATGTTTCCTCTTGGTCTCCCCATACTCCTCACTGAAGAAAGAAAAAAGAAAAAAAGCTAAAAGGGTGACAATAAGTGCAAAATAAAATCTAAAGAGTAAGAAATTAGTTTTATTTTTACCTCAAAATAAACGTTTAACATTTTTCCAAAACTAAAACTAAAAACGAACTTAGAAATAAGGGTGGGAGATCATTTGTCCTTTCCTGGGGAAGCCAGTGAGGCGGACATTTTTGCTGTACAGGGACTAGTCTAGAACAAAAACCCTCCCCCCTACTTCTCTTCCCTATTGTCAGTCATGCATACCAGGGTTACGGCTGATAGGGGAAAAACCCCCAAACAACGCCCCTCCCACCCCCCCAACACAAACAAGGAGTTTCATCTGCTGGGAAAAATTGCTTAACATGTGATCAAATGTTCATATAAAACCCCTTCTAAGGAGATTTAGTGAAGGTGCTACCCCATGGCCACCCAGCTGAGGTGGTGTCTGGTCAGCTGGTGGAAAGCACAGCAGGTGAACTCAGAGATGCGGCTCAGCCACGTCTCATTCACCACAGGGACGTCTTAAAGTTGAATTTCAGCTTCAGCAGATACTTCAGGTTTACCTGAGCAACGTCGTACACAATGTACCTGGAGGGCAAGCATGTCAAGGAGCAAATGGTTTCACTATGGCGAAGGCAGATGCCTGGCATGGCCATAGCTATTACCTAGGCTCACATGGATCTCCCCCCATAGCGGGGAGACACTGAGGGGCACTAGTCGCCAGTGTTACCCCCGAGGTCCTCTTGTCAGTCTGCCACACATCACCCTGCTGCCTGTGACTCCCAGCACTCCGCAGGCTCCATACCACTTGTGAAAGGATACTCATTATACAGCAGGCAGGTGTCGCTCACACCAGATGAGATTCCAGTCCCCAGAGGAACCTCTGCACCATCCACAGTAATACTAGCTGAAGGGTCAGGGGTGGTTTTGCCCAAACCTGCACAACAGGAGGCATGAGTCACATGAATTGTGAGAACAGATGGTCAAAATGTTTCAGGGAGATGACACATTTTATGTTGGGTCTACGTGTTCACTTTAAAGATATACAAACTCCATACTCTATCCTTCTTCCAGATAGAAAACCAGGTTCTAAATCAAAACCCCGAGGCATCAGCCTTAATTGATACAGTAAGAGTTGCAGCAGCCCCCAATGGGATCTTATTCCTACTGAGCAGATTCCAGCAGGCAGCTGGAGGCCTGAGGTCCACAGGCGCTACGGGCTCCAAGCTCCATGTCACAGGAGGTGCTCGGCGCTGCAGCTCAGTTCAGCAAAGGCCCAAAGCCACCGTGCCAGTGATGATGCTTGGACCCAGACTCCCCTAATGGCATGTGCATACTAGCTGCAGACTGAGGGAAATGGGTTTTTAAAGCACCCTCCTGCTGTTTCACAGTGGGCCACAGGAAGGCAGCCTCTGGGGAAAGCAGGCTCCTCCCGGTGCCATTCCCAGGCCCCAGCTGCTGCAGCAGCCTCTGAAGCACTTACCTTTGACGCTGTGCTTGCCTTTGGGCAACTTGCTGATGTGCGAGGCATGCTTCAGTTCATACCTATTCGACAGAGGACAGTCTCAGAAGAGCCTCCAAGCGTACTGGCTCTCAAACCAGCAGCCTGCTGAGCACAAGGTCAGGTGAGAACCTGAGATAAACACCCAGAGAAGCCAGTTCTTCTGCACTTCCCTCTTGTCTGGCTCCAGAAACTGAAGGTGTAGCTCCTTTGAACAGTTTGTGCCAATGGTCACTGCTAGGGGGCCCCATTCAAGGAAGAGTCCGATCTGAGTGATGGTGGGCCATTCTGCAGGTTTCTGTCCAGTCCACGGCCCAGAACCCTGGCCCATTACTAACCCTGCTCTTTGGGGGGCAGTATACAGGACCAAGGAGGACAACCATTCTGAGCTGGGCCAACGAGATTTTCTCTGCAGGGAACCTGGAACTGGGATGGAGACTCCAATTTGATCTGATTTCAAACACAAAATTTAAACTTCAGCAAGGGGAGGGGACACAGGTGATATCTTTGTGCAGGTCTACCTCTCCGCTTCCTAGGCCACAGGGAATGGGCACTGCTGGCCTGACACTGCCTCTGCTCCTGTCCTTGGGGTTCTGAGAGGCATTCCTGTGTCTGTGTTCACAGAGCTTCAACAGGTTTCTGCTCCCACCAAACTAGCCAGTGGGTCCCTTCAGTGTTTTAATTTCCAGGGTTGCCTTCCAGACAAGAGGGGCCACCCTCCTACAGCCCGCCCCATCTACCCCTTCAAGCACTACCTGCACCAAAGCTGCCATACTCACATGTTCCCAAGGGCCACTTCTCCCAACAGGATTAAGCCTACTGGGTCCCCCTGAGATGTGTGGCAGTAGTTGGCACTCTTGGAGACCATGTCAGCAAAATAGATACCTTTCCCAAACATGTAGCCTGTCTGGAGGATTGGAAAAGGGATAGTTGAAAACTTGCTGTGAAGTGAGCAGCAGCACATCTGCTCAGCACTGTGGGCCAGATGCCACACTGAGGTGCCATGTTTGTCCCTGTTGACGCCCTGGTGAGGGGCACGTGGGCCAAGCTGATGTGTCACATCCCCGCTCTGCCAGGGGCTGCAAGAAGGCAGGTGATCTCTCTGGACCCCCCTTTCTCTTTCTCTGAACTGGGGAAAAGAACCTCGTGGATTCTTTTGTGCTGAAGCTGAGTGAGTTAATAAATGCCACTTTGACTAGTGCCTGGCACATGTGAATACCGATTAAATGTTCGCTGTTACTTTTATTCCCGTTATACATGGAACACGAAGCTCAGAGCACTTAGGTTGCCTGCCGCCAGGTCCCATGCTATGGCACAGCACCAACAAGTCATCAGATCTCTCTGCTCAGCACCATCTAGCCAGTCACCTGCATAATCCAAGTGACATTAAGAGTCCCTTGGGCCTGGATGGGGCTTCACTCATTTATTGCCAGGTTTTCCTCAGGAAAGCAATGGGGCCATGGAGGGTGCCCAGTGGGGTGAGGCTGGTGGCCAAGGTCTGTTTTCTGCATGTCCACATACCAAACTATGTGGGCAGCAGGGTCTGGCCACTGCTTCTTTTATTCCAGAAACTCCACTCAATACATGGGCAGCCACCCATCTGCAGAGCTAGGGTCACGAAGGCCAAGGTACCATCTGGGTGCTGAGGAGGAGGGCCCGCACAGGGGTGTCTGGCAACAGCCACCTGTCAGCCACAGCTGTCCCAGCACTTCCATCTTCAAACAGGCCCCTGACTCACTGGGGTACATGCATGCCTCACCTGAGCACCTATAAAGCTCTTCATGGAGACAACCACACAGGCACTGCCCACCCCTCGCTCCCCGGGCCGCGGACATACCACAGGTGCTTCAGGCGGGGCTATCCGGAGGCCCTGGGACAGGATGCCAGCAAAGTTGGTGGTCCTGGACCCGTGCCACAGCAGCCTCCGGTTATGCAGCTGCTTGAACGGTTTGAAGCGCTGGCTCTCCCCTTCGCGTGCTATCTTGAAGATCTTGAGGGGATTGAATGAAAGAGGGGAGAGAAGCCACTTGTCACTATGGTTAAGATCTGACCAGCTGCCCTGACAGCGGAAGTCTTCAGTTCTGCTGAGTATGTAAGGCGTTTCAACCAGGCCAGATGGAGCAGCAAGACTAGTCCAGGGCTGAGCCAGAGACTTGCTGTTAGAAATTACACTGCCTGTAACACGTGCATACTTGAGGCTCTTTATTTTGGATTCTGATAATATTTTCTGGTTCTATAAGTAGGTTCTGAGAAAGGATATGCCCTCTAAAACAGAATAAAAAGCCACACCCAAATCGCAAGACTACCAAATTTTCTGCTCAATGAACAAATGAGTTACTTCTTATGGTTATTTAAAGCAAAGTGCTCTTTCCTACCCAGGCCAGGGTTGGAGGAAAGAGCAGGCAAGAGCTGTAAGGACAACGGGGGCGGAAGGGAAGAGTCTTACATCAATGACTTCCAAGTCATATGCATTATGCGTGCTTGCATGCGTATTCTTGACGTACTTCCTGATGGTCTCGGCTTCCTTGGAATCTTTGTCCACGACCTAGAAGGGTGTCCTGGAATTAGAGCAAGGGAGGCCCCCGGAGAGCCACACGAAGGCAGGAGGAAGACCACAGGCCCAGCCGGCATCAGTACCACGGCCCCCTGGACTAGTGGTCCCCCATCTCTGGGGCACTGGCTTCTGCATCTGTTCCAGTTGCAAGAGAGTCTAGGCATTCCCCGTCTTAAAGTTCCATGCTTTAGGATATTAGGAAAACAAGAATGTGGGGATCACTGGGAACAGGGTGCCTCTGAGCAAGGAGCTGGCTCCCAGGTTAACAATCCAGCTCACTGGAACCAGAACACGTGGGCTAGAAGACGCCTTACACCTAAGACTTGCAATCAGAGGTGCAAGGATCCAATCAGCTGTAGGTTTTAAGGATGGGGAGGAATGTTCCATCTCCTTCCAATTCTTGGGGCCAAGCACAGAGTGGCTCAGAGTACACACCCACCAATAACTAGCAAAGCTAATATGATCTAGGCCAAATAAGCATGAGTGTGTCATGACAAAGGCCATGTTCTGACCTATTTTCATATTCTTATCCAAAGTTCAGATAATCCAGGAATTCTGACCTTTTTCGGAGCCTCCTGATCAAGTCAATGGAGAGTTGACAACCCCTCCCCAAGGCACCGCACCCACAGCATCCCCAGCAATGTGCCCCAGGAACAAAACAAGTGACAGTTGGGGTCATACCCTGCTTCGACCTACAGACCTATGTTTTGTCCTAAGCAAGAAGCAAAGGCTCTTTTTAGTGATGTAAGCACACCACATAGGGCTCCCCGGGCCCGTGGGGACTCAGGTCTGCACCACTGGGGGAGGGTGCGGGGGCCGAGGAGTGAGGGGCCCAGGCTCAGGTCCAGCCAGGTGCTGAGGCAGGAACTCCACTCTGGTTGGCCTGGGCAGGCTGATTTCTCCCAGACTCCAAACACTCTGAAGGTTAAGGACTGCACGACCCTGACCGCTTCAACGCTGAGGAACATGAACAACCAGGTTTGGTGTTTTTATCACCACCATCAGGCATTTTCACTTCTGAAATGGGACACCAATATAAACCCTCTAAGGTGCACACCACAGAGTCTCCAGACATCCTTTCTAGATTTGAGGAAAAAAAGAAATTTTTGTAAGGCCCCTCAAAATCCCATCTCTACACCAAACTGAGACACTGGCTTCGAAGCATGCCTTGCAAACAAGATGCATATTTACAGGTAAAATGCTCTGAGGTTCTCCAAGAATCACTGGCAGCCACATCTGGGAATTTAAGTTAGAAGGGCTAATTCCTGGGCCCCAGCAATGTGCCTAAGCAGCTCTCCAAGGAGCTCCTTATGCACACTCACAGTTTGGGGACCATTGCTCTTGGGATGAGTGGTCAGTAAGCTTCAAAGAGGGCAGGCCCTGTTACCTTAATGTCAGTTTTGAGCTTCTCATAGTTGACGTCAATGGGGTCCTTGCTGCCATCATCAGACCCAGCCCTGAGCAGACTGTATGCCACCTCGATGTCCAGCAGGTTGTCCAGCATTTCCACCTTGGCCTGGAGGAACGAAAGAAAAGCCTTGAGCTAGGTACCAAGGCAAGGGAGAAAGACCCGGCCAGTTTTGGCCCAGAAAACCTATGTAGACAACAGCGAACAGACAGTGCAGCAACCCCTAGCTGGTCACTGCTAGCCTGTCACAGTTGTTCAGTGAACCCCTGAAGGACTTCTTGGAATGCTGAGGAGGGCTGCTCTGTGGGGCAGGGCAGAAGCTGCATGCATGGTAAGGGCAGTTTTCCTCTTGCACACATGGTGACAGGTGGTGACCTCTCACTCACCCCCTCGTGAGGAACAGAGGGAAGGCAGATGGGAAGGAAAATGCCATTAGGAAGAGAGGCCCCTTTTCCCAGCCTGAGGTGGTGCAGTGCATGAAGCGTGGGTAGGAAAACCATTGTTATCTTGCCTATGGGGTCTCTACCATGTGGAAAGAAAGCCCACTTTTTAATGAGGGCACGGGGGTGGCCCTGGCCCCGGCCCTGTCCCTAGGGACTGTAATGTGGAGGGGCAGTGGCAGGGAGCAGCATCCGCCAGAACCTGTGGGCTACCTGCACGCTGTCTGCGTTGTTCAGGAGTGGGGGCTTCTTCATCCCGAAGTCGTGGGGAATCAGGGTGTAGAAGCGATTTGAGAGATCGAGGATCTGGGAGTCACTGCTGCCCTGGGACACCACCTGGAAGGGAGGGGACACACTGTGGGGGCAGCTGTGAGCCCCAGTGGTTGGCTGAGCTTGCTTCTCTAGGAGGCAGACCCCATGGTAGCCTGGTGTGTGCCCAAAACAGGAAACCCAGGGAAATTTCCAAGACCACTTTCTTGTGGTTGTCATACTGCCCTGCACCTTCTAGCTGCAGCTCAGCACACAAGTGGCTTCCCATACCCAATGTAATTTGCACCTATAGTTGTGTACTTACAGATATACAAACCCCCACTGCTATATGTAAACCCCCACTGTAGCTGCCATGTCATGGGCTCAAGGGCACTGATGTAAAATTCTTCCAACATTTTGTGTGTTTGAAACATTTTAATAATAAGATGTTGAAAGGGAAAAAACCCACTGCCATAAAATTCAGTGAGGCCCTCTTCCCCGACTGACATTCACCTTTAAGGTGGTACAAGTTATTTTATTGCACCTGAGGCCCAGGTGTGGCCAGGCACAGGAGAGCTAAGCGCCCCACATGGCCACAATGCCAAGTAGTGCTCCATATGCAGAAGGTGCTCAATAAATACATGAAGACATGGAGAAGCTGCACCATGGGGATAAGACATCCTAGGTGAGCAGAGAATGGGATGGTCAACGAGCTGGTAACTGCAGGTCCCCAGACTCACGCTGGCTTCTCAGAGGGACCCAGGTGTCTCCAAGTTGTAAAACTTCCATGTGAGCTGCACTTTTCTCTGTATATAAGGATGCCAGCCCTTCTACCCAGGGATTCCAGAACAGCAACGGGCTGGGACTGAGCCGTCTCAGCCAGTGGGCAACAAGGAAGAGGCCAATGCTGGGAACAGGTGTAACTGGATCTAACCGGTCCCTTCCGGGGCCTATTCTCTGGTCCAGCCAGAAGTCCACTTTCCCAGTAGCACATTAGCTTCTTGTGTGTTCTTTCCCAAGTCAAGCCTGCTCCCCACCCCAGATATAAGCAGAACCCACCAGCACCTCCAGGGCAAGGCTTGATGGCTCTAGGGCTGGGGATCCTTGATAGGCAAGTTGACACTGAATGAACATTTATCAAAGTAAGGAAATAGCTTTCTATTCAGTGATTTCCCAGTAACTGCAAAATACACAGCCTTAGTCTTAAGGACAAATAAAGTAAAATCAGAACATTTTCATAAGGATGGAGAACAAGAATCCTCATCAAGTTCATAGGGAGTTTATTTAATCATTGAGAACACTGCTGATTCACTGTTTTGTGGCGTCTTCTGCAAATGGCAGGCACTTGTCCTACTTGTTGGCTTGAAAAACACTGGAATCATGAATTGTCCCTGAGTAGTCTATTTCATCAACCTTGAATTCCTGCACCCACCCTGTAGATCAGAGGCCAGACAAGCAGATGGCCCCAGAAACCCAGTGGGCAGCTGGACAGGGAGAGGCCAGCTCCATGCTTACCTGCTGGACCTCGCTGAGGATGGAGTACGCAGCCTGGATCTGCCTTTTGCTTAGCTTTCCCAAGGGCATCTTCTGAAGGTCAATCTGAGGAAACAGGAGGAAATTTCCCTTTGAAAGCCAGGCACTGTGCCTGTGATTTTGGCAGAGCTGGACCAAATACCACCGCAGGCCTAGGGGCCCGGCACAACACAGATGAAGACCCAGTGGCCCAACTCAACCGAGTCTGGGGCTCTGCCCTCGCCGTCCTCAGTCAGAAATAGCCCAGCATTTCTGGGAGAATATACACATTCCCTTTCAGTCCCAAGGAGGGATGAGGGCCAGCCCAGGTGGCCTTCCCTGGGGTCTCAGAGCCAAGGCAGTTTCTAGCCCGAAAGTAAGAACCATAAAGTGGTGGAAAGTATTTCTGAAAGGACACACTCCTGAACATATGTATTTATATTCAAAGCAATGCTGTCCCTTTCCAATCAGACACACCAATAGGCATTTCTTCCAGCTACTGCTCGAGAAAGGTGGTGAGCTCCAGTGGAAAAGCATGAGATCTGCAGCCAGACGGACTACTCACCACTTAGCTAGTAATACATCCACTCAGCCTTGGCCTCTGATCTGTAAAACGGGGCTACCTGCCTCAAAAGGCAGTTACCTGCGCCCACCCCCCTCCGCCACCGGCAAATGGCCTGGCCGGCGTGGCTGCTCTGTGCACCAGGACCCGTGCACTGTATTCTGAGACAATCGCCAGGGCTGTTCCCAGTGGACCCTTCGAAGCTTCTGAGCTCCTAGGCCCAAGATGGCACATCACCCATCTCTCCATCTCCAGCACCCACAGTACCTGAACTAGAGGGAGCCACGCAAGCATCTGACAAACGGAACTGCTAGGTGACCAAGTTAAACTAGAGGCCGTGGAAGTGCTGACAGCTCCTCAGGCACCAACCCGGGGCCACTGTTTAGTAGTGACCACGAGCCGTAGCACACTGGCTTCTCTGTACCAGCAGCTCTATCCCAACAAGACCTGGCTTCTGGGAAGTTAAATGTCGGGGCTCCATGTGGGGAAGAAGGTAGATAAGCTATTGTAGACAAGGACAGGTACAATAAGAGGGCAGAGTGCCTTCAGTGTGGATTATAAATTAGTTCTTAAGAAGGAACTGAAAGATGTTTATCAAGGGCTGAGTGACCAGACACTCTGAAGGGAGCAACATGTCCCAAGCTGTGTGACTCTGGTGTCTGTGTACCAGCACCCCTTGAAAGGCACACCTGAGCCAGGAGTGCTCAGCGCAAGCCAGCCCCACTACGGGAAAGGGAAAGGGGTGGCCCTCAGAGTCAGGGAGCTGTGAGCCACAGATGCAGCCAGGGGAGGTTTCCAGGGCGACAGCTGGACTAGGACACAGCCGTGCCCTCCCACTCTGGCTCCTTCCTCAGGGAGACCAGGAGGTCTGCTGAGCAGAAAGCTGCCCTGCTATCTGTTCCCGTATCGTGTGCTCAGCCCAAGCCCATGGGGGGCCCACCAGGTTAGAAGCAGGACCCTGGCCCTTTCCTTCCTGCAAACTAGTTACCTGAGTGAAAACAGTATAAAAAATGTTACTTCACGGGAAGAGACTCAGGACACCTAACAGTTGGGAAAGTACAAATTCTATGAATCAGCCAGAGCATAGGAAGCCAGAAGTAATGACCTTTGTTTTAAACCATTAGTCAAATGGAGCCCCCGCCTTCACTATATTTCTCTCCCTTTCCTCATGGCCTGTGTTCTGAAGAAGCCCACCCACAAGCTTAACTAGCCAGGCCTCCCAGACCCAAGTCGGGCTATGTATTTATCTGAACAAGGTCATGCACACCCTGACCATCTTCAAACCCATCAGGGGCATCTAGGATGTAACTCAACACTGTTTTCGGACAACAGCTGAGCTGTGGGCAGTCCTGCCAGGCTCAGCTCCAGGCAAGGGGACTCAGGGTCAGGAGGCAGAGGCTACCAGTGGCTTCTACCACCAGGCTTGTGACGTCTCTATCTAAGGCTGGCAGGCAGCCTCTAGGGAGGATCTGGGGAGGAGTGGCTGGCTAAGGCTGACCCCCGGTGCTCACCCTCCCCATGGATCCCTGCTCATTTTCCAGAGCAGCCCTAAAGCTTCCTGGATCTGTGGCTGGGAAGAGGGGAGGGTGCTGTCTGCCAGCCTCATACCAGCAGTACCCAGATCATCTCTGTTTCAAAGGTCCCGGGGTGAGCACTCAGGAGCTGATGCCAGGGACAAGAACTAGGGGCCCTTCTGCACCCATCGCCCTGGAGAATGTAAGACAGGATGGAGACCACAGGGACCCCTGGCCTGGCTGCAGTCCCTGTCGTTCTGCCCTGAGCAGAGAGGCGGGACGAGTCCATACCTGCCTCCCCACCTGCTCTTAAGAAGTCAGTATGAATTTCATCCATGAAGCAAGCATCAGGTCTCTGCATGTCTGTCAGTGCTGGTTGTTTTATTATTACTGGACCATCCTGGACTTCCCACAATACTGGCTGACCTGTTGGTTAGGCCACAAAAGAACCATGCCTGCACAATACCCCACCATGGCCACAAGAAGGGCAGGAGTGCACAGGAGTCTGGGGACCAAGGAGCCACGCCTCTACCACACACTGCCCATCTCCCAGCAGGTCAGACAGGCCTTCGCAGGCCCCAGTTCCCCCTGCAGTCTTCTCTGGCTGAGGGACAGACTGACATCCACTGAGAACAGTCCCTGCGCTATTAGCAGCTCAGCACCCAGATCATCAACCCCAGCAAATGCTCACGATAAAATGGAAGTGCAATAACCTCATATTCCACCATGGCTTTCTTCATACTTTCCACATCAAAGATCATCTTAATGAGGTCCTGCACTGGCCTGGGGAGCTCAGACTTGGTGCCAGGGGTCACTGTCAGCTTCTTCACCGCCTCCTCATCCTTTGGGAGGAGAAAATCAGAGACCCAATTAAACAACCCAAGCAAAGTGGCAGTGGTGTTTGGGCTGCAGGTAAGAGAGGACAGGGTGCCACTAGCAAAAAAGGCTGCATGTTCATCAAGAGGGTTTGGGCGGTAGGTGCTGGGAGGTGCCTGAGTCTGCACAGGGGTCAGGCACTTCCTGGCACCCAGCCCTCTCAGCTACTGCTGGCCTCTCATGCCCAAACCAGAAGTGGTGGCAGCTGTGAGGGCAAACCTTGGCCCAAGGGGACACTGGACGTATTCCCCCTTTTCCTGCATCACCTCACCCCAGGGCAACTGTAAAACTGGGTCCACACTGCCTTCTCTAGTCTGAGCACTAGGCAACCAGCCATTTCCTGCCAGGCAGCTTGACAGGGTTAATGTGTTCTACCCTTTGTCCTCCGTCTCACTCCGCTACCCCTCAGGCCCTGCTCCCTGGAGAAGCCGGGCTAAGTGAAAACCATGCTGTACTTTAAGCATTGTAATTCTTCTCACTTTCGACCCCACAAGGGCAGGGACTGTGTTTTGTCCATCAGTGTCCCTAGCAATTAACGGTGTTTGGTATGTGCCTTGAGTGAAGATAACTGGCACTGGGTTTGATCCCAAAATTGGGTTGGTCTAACCAAGTCACATTAGAGGGATTTGTACAATGTTGGTGCCCCTGGCTGCAGCTGCCAACATCACAGCAGATCTGCTCAATGTGTCACATGGAGTCTTCAATGCATTCTTATCCTCCGGTTAGAGCTTCTATGGAAGGCAAACTATTAATGGGTAACAGTCTTTTTAAAATGCGTATCTCTTAACGTTAGTAACAGAGGTATATTTTTACGTATATCAGTGTCACTACAGCAAACACATAGAAATAACCTAAATGCGTAATGGGGAGTGATGTTTGGTAAATTACAAATTACAGCCACCCATAACTCCAGAATTATGGAATTCTATGCATTCTTAAGAAATGATGCTCTAGGTCAGTACAGTTCAATTCACTAGAAACTGCCTCTGAAATTCAGTCTGAATTGAGATGTGCTGTAAGGGGAAGAAATAGACCAGACTTCAAAGATTTAGTTAAAAAAAAAAAAAAAGAGTATGTACTGGCTCAATAATTTTGTCTCTCAATAGCCACACATTGAAATGTTATTTTGGTTATCCAGGGCTAAATGAATGACTAGTATCAATTTTACTGCTGCCTTTGAAAAATGTAGCTACTGAAATATTTAAAACTGCCCAGGGGTCACCTACCCCCACTGGACAGCACTGCTCTAGACGACATGGGGAGACACTCCAGGGAATCAGGAAAAGCAGGTAATCACAACAATGTATGTACGGAAAGGCCCACTTTTTGGTTGGTGGGAAGAGCACCTGTAAAGTGAGGAAGGGTGCTAACAAGAGATGCCATGATTCCAACTGCAGTTACTTCTGGGCTTTGTTTTTTGTGCCTTTGTCTTTCTCAAAATCTTCTAAAATCATATGAGTATTTTTGAAATCAGAAAGGTTCAGTAAGGGGCACTGCTGAGTCAGACCAAGTCTGTCCAGCCCTGAAGTCCAAGGTCTCAACCTCAAAATCCTGAGAGAGTTAAATTCTATTTTTAATGCTGAGAACTTAGGATGGACACTCAATAAACTAGAGCATTCCCTCAAAAACATGCTAAGCCTTAAAGATCTGAAATTACAATCTATACTCATCTATAAATCTCAATCCTGCTGCAAAATAAATGTGCCTTTCCCCGTGAAGGTAACTGATTTTCCCATTAAAACAGGGGGAGCATTTTTGTCCACAAAACATCAGTTGAGAGAGAATGGCAGTGTTGCTTGGTGAGATACACAGGGAGCTGTCAGGCCGCAAATGCAGGTATAGCAGTTTTACTAAGAAATAATCTGGAACTAAAAACTAGCAGGGAATGTCAAGTCATAATAATTCCATGCTGATGATAAACCAGGTGATGTGATCTATGATGAAATATGGGTTCAGTGAAGGGGCCTTCCCTGGAATCTGAATTACTCCTTGAGGCATTTAGGGAATAACTTCAAATGGACTGTGCCGCCTTGATGGTCTTAAAAACGCCTACACTGTTCTCTTCTAAGCTCCAACTCATACTTCATGGTGAGAATTTTATTCATGAAGGGGTACTGGATTTTATTAAATGATTTTTCTGTATCCAGATGATCATGTGTTTTTTTCTTTTATTCCACTCGTATGTTGTATTACATGGATTGGTTTTTGTATGCTGAACCAACCTTGCATTCCTTGGATAAATCCCTCCAGATCATGGTGTGTATATCCCTAATATGCTGCCGGACTGTTTAGTATTTTCTTGAGGACTTTGTTTCTGTATTCCTAGGGATACTGGTCTGTAGTTTTCTTGTGATGTCTGTCTGGCTTTGGTATCAGTTTGGAAGTGTTCCCTCCTCTATTTTGGGTAAGAGTTTATGAAGGTCTGGCAGTATTAATCCTTTAAACATTTGGTAGCATTCACCAGTGCTGCTACCTGGTCCATGGCAAGCTTTTTCAAGAACACAGTGTCCTTTCCTTTTACTAGAACCAGATGGACTAAGAGCATTATTGGTCACCTGGCCGTAGTCAATCTCCAGAGGGTAGAACTTTTTGGGGTGCTTGGTGAAGTTTTTGCAGTGCCAGGAGTTCCCAGTTTTCTCTTCATACAATTTCATGAAGTGTTCAATGGCAACCTCCTTGGATGGCATCTGCTCCAGTTTGTTACTACCAATCACTGTGCCCACACGGCCCCAGGACCTGAATATCCAGTACCTAGGAGAGGAAAAAGTGGGGAAGAACATCGATACAGATGCACGTTTCAGGACACATTTTACTTTCCTGACTCTCCGAACACCCCAAAAAGATGGCAACTGACACTGTAATAAAGGAATTTTATTTTACTTTTATTAAACTGAGGGTTCTAGTAAGTAAAGCATGCCCTATCAAGTCACACTGGCAAATGGGACTAAAGAGTGCCAAAGAACAGGTTAGGCCTGGACCTGGGAGCCAGTCCTGAGGAGACAATCCTGGAGCCTGTAGACCTTTACATAAAAACACCCAATTCTGCTCCCCCAAGATATAGAGCAAAGAGCACTGTGCAGCCATGTGTTCAAGGAGACAACTACTGACTACACACCCTAATGGTGATGAAGAACTTTTGGCTCAGGTCAGAGGATGAGAAGCAATTTAACTGCAGGGGGTAGACAGTGGCATGCAGGGTCAGGCTGCAGGCCCAGCTGTCACTTAGCTTCCATCTCTGTCTAGGGCAGACACACATCCTGGGGGCTGGCTGTGCTGCTTAGCTTTGGATGAGTTAGATGAGTAACTTAAATTTTACATCACAACAAATTGATGTATCAGAATAACAAATGCAAGATTTGTATGCATTTTTAAGGTAAAACCAGAGAATTCAAAGAAAACTTGGGGCTTCCTGATGGTTTTCAGGGCTGATGTTTAAAGGCATATAAATTTCCTCTCCACTGTTGTTTTCCCTGGAGATATTATGATAACCTGCTCTGCAAATACTTCTGGCCCTCCAGCCCATACTACCATTTCACTCTAAAAACCCGTAAACGTGGGCCACCACAAAAACACAATCAAGAAATTTTTTCCTGATGGTGGGCAATTTTATTCTCATTTAACAGACAAAGGCACTCTGTCTGTTTCTACAAAAACCCCATTCCTCCTGCACTAAAATTCACAAGCTTTTCGTGCCCTCCCACTAGGAAAGCTTTTTGGATATCCTGGACCTCCAATGGGAGAACTGTTTTCATTTGCTAAAGGAAAAGGTCCAGGTTAATATATCAACGTAATTATTTGAAAATGCCTTTTCACCATGAGATTTTCTTAGTTACTTCCAACAGCTTGTGCACGCACAGGCTCCCCTTCCGACTGGACATACCGAGGGACCACCGCGGGGGAGAGGACCACCCTGCCTGGAACGGCGTGGATGGGAAAAGCCAGCCCAGCCCCTCGGCACCCAGAATTGGCACCCTTTCTCCACCATGTAAAAAAGAAAAAAATAAAGGCAAACCCAAACCTGTTTATTAACTAGGGAGCCTAAAGCAACATTAGAGCGAGTTCACTTCTTGCCAAACTTTCATTTGCTCCAGAAGTTTTAAAGTATGTGTAGAGGTATTGGAAAATCTAGACTAGTCTTCAGGAGGCTACAGGAGAGGGGTGCTGGGATGCCTGCATCCCATGGGGATGGCAGGGCTGGGTACATGCAGGAGAGTGAGGCTGTCTGTCTGCCCTCTTGTCACAGGCCGAGGGTACACCTGTGCTCTGTGAGGAGCTCGAACTCCCCAGGCGCCGGGAAACTGGTTTCACAAGGCTGACAGTACAGCCCTCACAGGCCGGCATGTGCTCCCCCATCCCCAGAACACACCTGCCTTCTTTGTCACCCTCCAGGAGCTGCAGCTTGTAATAGGAGTTGGTTCCTTTAACGATGTCCACCAGGCCAAGGGTGGCGCTGAACACCTTCCCGCCTTTCTCCAGGACGTGTGCAGAGTGCTCCAGGCCTGTTGGGAGGCGAATCTCCTACAGTTCCTGCTCCCGTGGGCCGGGGCAGGTGTGCAGTTCACTGCTCCCATCTGCCACCACCACCCTCCGGAGGGTACCCACAGGACACACGAGTTCTCAGGACTGGGGAAGTCGGAGAGCAGGCAGGCGGGCCAAGGTGTGGCCCTGCTCCCACACTTTTTCCTAATCATCTGGGGCACGTGGAGTCACTGTGCTCATGTTCCTGTCTGCTTACCAGAATCAGGATCGACAGCTGCTCCTCCTTTCAGAGTCAATTTCATTCTCTTTTCAGATTTGTTGACACCTTGGAGGGGAGAGAGAAATGTGCACATTAGAGTGAGATGGTGGAGGGCCGACAAGTGCATGGCCTTCCCTCTGACTGCCCACGTGGCCCGTGTGCTGCCCCTGCCCTTCCCACCCCAAAGCACCTCCACCCTGTGTCCATGGAAAATGGGGCAGAGGAAACTGGCAGGGAAGTGTTCCACAGGCCACTCTGGGGCACAGGGGGTGAGGCCCCGCACAGGCAGACGCGTGCAGCTGGCCAGGAGCAGGGCCACGACCACGGCAGCTGGGCGGCCGGCACCTCACCTGCCTCCTTGCCGGGGCCCTTGCTCTTCTTGGGGAGCGCAGCCCCCACCTTCCCTCCGGGGGCCGCTACTTCTGAAGGCTCTGCCTTCACCTCTGCCCCCCAGGGGGACAAGATGTGGGCTGAGAATAACTCCTGGAGGCCTTTCATGGAGGCAGAGACATCCTGGAGGAAGTCCTCAGACACAACACGGATGTTGGCTTCTCTGACTTCCTCCATTTTCTTATTCATCTTTTCTACCTCCTCTGTCAAAATCAGAAGAAGAAGGTGAGCAGTGAGATGAAAACTAAACTTAAATCTCCAACTACTAGTGTCGTATTTACTCGGTCCTTCCAAACCCTCCTCATCACAGCTCCCATTTCCTCCAAACCCAGTGTTCACAGGGCTCTTTCCCACAGCTGACTCTGCTCAGCAACAGTTCCCTAAGGGATGATGAGCTAAGGACAAGGTGACAGGTAAGTCACAGAAAAGGGACCCTGACATCCAACTCATACGGGAAAAGCTGTACCCTATTTCTCAGGTCTTGGAGACCTAAAATGGTTGTCCACATAATAAACCTGCAAAGGAACCTGTTCACCTTTGTTAACACTGCATCTTCCAAATGGATAATCAGATACACAATTTAACGTTATTTCCTTCCCTTTGGTAGGCTGTCCTTCATTTTGGTGATGGCTTCTTTTACTGTGCAGAAGTTTTTTAGTTTGATGCCGTCCCATTTATTTACTGTTTTTATTGCTTTTGGTTTTGGTGTTAGATTCAAAAAAATTGTCCCAAGACTGATGTCAAGGAGCTTACCACCTATGCTTCCTTCTACTTTTATGGTTTCAGGTCTTAACGTTCCATTTTTTAATCCACTCTGAGTTTTTGTGTACAGTGTAAGAGTTTCCCAACTCCACTTATTGAAGAAACCTTTTCCAAACTGTGTATTTTGGACTCCTTTGTTGAGGACTAACTGCCCATATAAGTGTATATTTATTTCTGGACTCTGATCCTGTACCATTGGTATACGTGTCTATTTATGCCAGGACCACACCGTTCTGATTACTGAAACTCTGTAGCATAGCTTGCGATCATTGAGTGCAATGCCCCCTTGTTCTTCCACCAGGTTGCCTTGGTTATTTGGGGCCCTTTGTGGTTCCATACAGATTTAGGATTATTTGTCCTATCTGTCTGGGAAAATGTCATTAGGTTTTGACAGGGATTAACTGAATCTGTACATTACTTTGGGGAGTGTGGAGCTGAGTCTTATGGAGGTTCCCCTGTACATAACAAGTGTTTTTTCCTTCTGTGCCTTTACTATTCTCTCCTGCCCTTAACTTTTAATGTGTCTTGGGGTGGGCCTCTTTGGGTTCATCTTGTTTGGGGCTCTCAGGGCTTCCTGGACCTGGATATGTTTCCTTCTCAGGTTAGGGAAGTTCTCAGTTGTTAGTTCTTCGTATGCTTTCCGCCCCTTTCTCTCTTCTTCTAGGACCCTATAATGCGAATGTCAGTCTGTTTGATGTTGTCGCTCCCCTAAGACCCCTGAACTACCTTCACATTTTTTTATTCATTTTTGTCCTGCTCTGACTGGGTGAGTTCCACTGCCTGGTCTTTAAGCTGATGGATCCAGGCTACTGTGAACCCCTCTCATGTAATTTTCAGCACAATTGTTAAATCTTCAGCTCTGTGACTTCTGCTTGGTACTTTCTTGTATTTTCCATCTCTGTGCTGAAGTTCTGTGTTCATCCATGCATCTCCCCAGTTCAGTAAGCATCCTTATGACCATTACTTTGAACTCTTCACCAGGTAAACTACTTCAAGGTTTCTTCCTGAGGTTTTATCATTTGGAACATGTTGCTGTTTCTTCACTTTGCCTGATGATCTGTGTTGGTTTCTATGCAACAGATTAAACAGCCAGCTCTCAGCTTGGACATGTAGATGACCCTTCTGCCCAGCCACGCTCCACCTCTTGGTCATCTCTTAGATTGCTGTGCTTGTCCAAATGGCCTATTATAATTTTCACAGATCCTGGCAAGACCTCTCAGTGTCCCAAAGAGGAGGAGCTCAGTGCCTGGATTCGGGTCAGCAAGGAATAGGAAGGAGCCTGCTGTCTTGGCTGGGACAGGAGCAGGGGAGTATATGCTGTGATACAGAGCAGTAACAGAAGCACAAACCTGGCTACTCTCCGTAAAGCCGAACATGATGTTGTGATGGAGAAGGGACACACTTTTGGGTGTCCTGTATATCAGACATTGTACCAAGTGCCTCCTCTCCCGTAATTCTCAGCACGATCGTAAGACACAGACAGCAGGATCTCTATTTTACAACCAAGGTCAAACTCACTTTTAGTACTGATGCACAGGGAGGCCTTGTTGACTGTACCCGTCAACTTTCCCCCAAGTCTCTCGATCGTGCCCTTCACTTCATCTTTGGTTTGGGAGAGCTTCCCAAGAGTCAGGATCCTCATGTTGGACAGTGGCTTATCTGGAAGGGGAGAGCAGAGTCAGGAAGCCAGGCAGACGTGCCCAGGGACAAATGAGAACAGGTTGTGGGACAGCCTCTGCACCCTTCTCTGAGCAGCTTCTCTTGAGGGAAAACAGAAGAAAGGGCCTAGTGCAAAAGCGGATGTCAAGGCAGCCAACTGCCACCCCAGAGGCGGTTCCTGCCCCCAGGCACAGTAAGGACCAGGCCGACAGAAGCCACCCAAGGACACAGCTCCCCCAGCAGGCCAGCTATGCCAGCTGTGGTCAGGGTGCCCCAGGCAGACTAGGAAGACTGTGGTTGAGGATGACGGGCCAGGATGTTGGCAGTGGAGGGGGTGGACCACATGAACCTCCAGTTTCTTGTATTATACACTCTAGACATGAGATGCTGCGGGCAGAAGGCTTTCAGGCACTCTCCGGTAGGGCAGATAACAAGGGACATTAGCAGTTTATTGCAAACTGGCTGAGGTCCTCGCAGGGAACAAGAACATTTAGTTGTTTGTCAACTGCAGGTCAGGAGAGGCAGGAGGGATCTCAGAGCCGGAGGGAGGAGGGTCAGAGGGCCTACCAGACGTGGCCCACTACACATGCACTTGGACCCAGGCTGCAAGCACAGTGGACTTGGGATGACCAACTGTGCACAATGCACACGCCCCCTCCCCTGGGGATGGAAGGAGGCCATCAACAGGCTCACATGCAGGGATGGACCTGTCCTCCACCACCAAACTGGAGCCCTAACTATTGGACTATTCCATGTGCCTCTAAGTACAAAGAGGAGGTGGGTCTTCCTCCAGACACAGAAACACATATTGAACTCATTGTCTTTGTTGGTGTGGAGTATCTCCCACTGACATTGATCAGCAACTTCCTTTGATGCCATGTCTCCATATTCAAGAGACCTAAGCATCCTACTACCAGGCTCAGATGACTGACTCATGGGTATGGTATGGGGCTGCCTGGAGGAAGGAAAGCAAGACCCAGAAGGACACTCTGTGGTTCAGTTAGGCAAGCCGTACCAAATGCCACTTCAGGTAAGGCTGCTTGCCAGGCCTGTGTTAGGAGTCCCCCCCAGCCTCCCTCCTCCTGCTGCGGGGAGTGGGCAGGGTTCCCCCACAGGATCAGCAAACCGAGAACCCAGAAGGACACCCTCTTTCCCCTAAGATCAGCTCCCCCTGACCCTGGGGAATTGTACCTGGTGGAGAAGAGTTAACTGCAGCCGGGGTCAGGGCTGTGGGCGGTGGGGGTGCAGCCATTGGTGGGGTGCTGGTCTCAGGGGGGAATATACGGTCCTGCTTTTTGACCTTCAGTTTCTTGAGGTAAGAGATTTCTCGGAATTCCTAAAGAATTTAACGTTAAGGAAGAAACCAGTTCTCTCTTGAAATAACCATTTGGTAGAACAAAGCAATTTGGCCTTCCCACATTAAATACTTCTTTTCTTATGATAAACATACAAGAAAATGTGAAGCTTCTAGGATGAAACATAATGCTATCATCTGTATATTATTTCCAGTGCTTCTATATATAATATATATATATATAATAGAGCTGATATAATAGATGCTTTATGGAAAATATATTTTCCTTAACAAACAAACAAACAAACAAACCCCAGTTGACAATGTGGCCAGTGTATGCTGTTAGAGCCTCATTCTTGACTTGTTCCCCTCTAGTCAACGGCTTCACTGGGGCCATATACTTATCCAACGACAGCAAGTCCCCCAAGACAGCACCCACTGGGAGGGAGATAATTTCCCAAAAGAAAATCAGGGTCATTTCCTCCTGTCCATGAAAAAGGGATCTGGATGCAGGGAGTCCATTAACAGTCAGTATTCAACAGAGGGCTCACCTGAGCCCCAGGCAATGCACAATGGGCCATGTGCTCAAGGAAGGTTCCTCTGCTCCTAAGCCTTCATCCAATCAAGAAAGAGCCCTTCCCTGCCACGCCCACATTCTATGAATGCCCACAGAATAAAAGGGGCAACAGATTATTTCCAACAGCAACTACTAGCAGCACCCTGAGGTTATAAAAACAGTTCCTTCCCTTGAGAAGGCAGCTCAGGTCTGACTGAGTCAGATAAAGGAAGGTAAAGTTCAATACAGGAGTAAAGTTCTAACCCAGAGGTGTGCTAAGAACAATGAAAGAACTGGGACTGCTGGAAGGCTCCCTGGAGGCAGTGACCCAAGTCAGCTGGGAGTCAAAAAAGGAGGGTGCTGCCTAAGCAAAGGCATTTGGCTGATATGTGGAAAGTTGGGAACCCTAGGCAAGTAGGGCCCTGTTAGGCAGAAAAATAGGTATGAGCGGGATGAAAAGAGAATAAGGCCAGGAAAAAGCCCACGAAAATAAAAACCCCAGAGTTAATCAGTTAAAGCTCAAAAAGCTAGGAGCAACTTGGCCTGGAATGTTTTGAGTACTCCCCAGATAAAGGAGTGTACCTGAGCATAGTGCATGTCTTTATTATGTTATTCATGCAGGCCCAGTTTATTTTTTAACTTTACCTATATGCTGTTCTTTTCTCCTTCAGCCCTAATCAAGTAGTTTGCAACCTAGGCAACTAGTTTAGCATGCAGGCTCAGCCATAAACAACATAGCAAAAGGCAGGAAGGATTCCATCTTCAAGACAAGATTGCATTTTAACACCCAGGAAGTTAAGAAGATTCTTAACTTACTCTTCAGCAAATAGTAACTCAGTCCACCTTGGGGGCCTGGCAGGCAGCCTTGTTTGATATGCTCCCAGACCAGGATGTATGCTATCCCAGGGAGAAATCAGGGCAGGTAGTTCCTTGTGTTAAATCTAAATATTCAGAGACCACTTAATAGGTCAGCACCCCCACCAGTTAGTCACATTCCTGAAGAATTCTTAAAAGGGGGAACCCTCAACCTTTTGGGGCACTCCTCTGAGGTCACCCGTACTTTCTAAGTGCATAACCTTTTAATCTTAAACATTCTCTCTCCAACCTTTCAGGGCACCTCTCCTTGCTGAGGTGGGCTGTACTTTTTCTCTCTTTAAATAACTTTAAATAATTAACTTTTACTCTGCTTCACTACTGTGTCTCTGCCCTTCAATTCTTTGTTGCAGTGGGGACAAGGATGGGGAAAATACACAATACTCCCCCAACAGCCCCACTGCTGGGAGTGTAAAGAATTAAACTGAGTGGGAGGGAGATGTGCATGCAGGGATGGTGGAAATGGTAATTTGGAGAAAAGGGGGTGGAAAGAGGGGAAGCAGAAGGCTGACAGAGGCAGATCACAGAGGGCTTTAGGGAGTCAAGCTAAGGAGCTGACCTCCATTCTGTGGGCCAAGTGCCTGGAGGCAGCAGTCACCCCCAGGGTCTGTGAACCCAGGAATCTTCATGGGCACCAAGCACTGTTGCCCTAAAAACAGTCCTGCTGTGCAGGGAAAAACAACCAAACAAACATATATATATAGATGCCGTGCAATTGGTATCTTACTTTTTTCTCAATCAAAGATGATAAAAAGGATACAAATACCACAAATGGGTCTTTAATATCTGTGAACTCAGAAAACTGGGAGAATATTTTTCTACATGAAATAGGGAATCACTAAAGGTTTTAAGGTATGGGAATTAACAAGGTCAGACTGGCTTTAGAGAGACCACTCCAAAGAAGCACAGAGCAAAGACTGGGAGGGAGGGCATGTTAGTAAGATAGTGACAGACCCAAGAAACAGGAGCCAGAGCAAGGGGGCTGGAGGAAAACAGAGTTCAGTTCTAGACGTGGAGTTAGTGGTGCCCACAGGTGCTCATGTAACCACCTGAGTGTTTATTGTGCGCCCTCTTCCAAATGCTCCATCCCCAGGAGGTGGAACCCAGATCCCAGGAGCAGTAGGCAGTGCCAGGGCTCTTCCCCAGGCTGCCAGGCACCAGCTCCCTTAGCCTGGGGGCACAGATGGAGTCAGTCCAGCTGCCAGCTCCTCAAGGACCACCAGAAGGACTCCAACTGAGGGTTTTTGTTTTTGCCTACTGAGAATTCAATACACCATTCCATTAAAAAAAAAGATCAATAATGGAAGATAACTTGAACTCCAGTCCCAGCTCACCCTCTAGCACCAAGGCAAGGAAATATCCTTAAGAAAAGCTCTCCTACCATACACGCAGGAATTAACTATTTATTCACCAGTGTGTCTCCTGAGCTTACAATAGTGACTGGCACAGAGTACATACTTCCTAAAATAAACAGAAGTGAAAATAAACAGAAAACGAAAATGGCCTTTGCAAGAAAAAGGGCTTTACACCAACTGGACAGACCTGTATTCCAATTGGAAGTACTCTGGCTCTACATTTGTGCAGTTTACAAACATACGGAACATATAATTTCATATTCTGATGATGAGGACAGCATGTTGTACCAATGTCTAAGGAGCACTGAAGGGCAGCTGTAGTGACGTAGTGTGGACAACCCCAGGAGGTGGGACCATGTGTTTCTGTTAACATCCTAGGATCCTCCCTGCCCCACCAGACTTACCTTTGGGGTCACCCACTCCTTTCGGCTGGGTGTCTGTGTCTTGACCATACACTTGGTCCAGGCAGTAACATCCCCGGTACAGTAATAAGCATCACTCTTGAAGACTAGCTGGCCTGAGCATTCCTCACAGGGATGGAGGGCGCCAAACACCATGCCATCGGCCACTCGGTCCAGGATCTGAAGCCAGTGAAACAACTTTGTCAGAGGGAAAGAGTGGCTCCAGAGACATTTACCAACCAATGTGGAATAAACAATCTGCAGACCCCAATCCTACAAAAGGGGATGGGCTTGCCCTGACCTGCTAGAACTCCCCTGGGCATCTGGGTAATCCTGCAGCTCCCCACCTCTTGGTGACTCAAACATGGAGAGCCCGAGCACCCCCAACTGCTGCCCAGTAACAGTGCCAACAGTTACCCCAGAGGGGATGGCAGGGTAGGGCCCCTGGGGAAACTAGAGGGTCCCCCACTCCCTTGCAGCCCCTTGGGGACTCTGGGCAGACAGTGGCAGAGGACTCCTTGGGTCAAAGCATGTGGAGTGAACATGCCAGGCAAATACATGGCACACCTCAGTCTTTGCCAAAGTCTACGTCAAGGCCCCCAGGGCCTGAGAGAACCTGCCCAAGGCAGAGGCCATGATGGCAATGACCACACAACGCGACACGAACGTCCACGCCTCCCAGTCAGTACCAGCAGGGGTTCAAGGGCCTACCACACTCTACAGGGTCAGTCACTCCACAATGCCTGGACCCGTCATGTGTGTCTCACTTAAAGTGGCTCACCGCCGACTCCCCAGATGGTACTTGCTGCTTGTTGAAGAGCAGCAGCTCTTTCAGGTCGTTGGTGGAGCACACTTTCTTTAGCTCATCCTTGAGGTTCCATACCAGCTCATTCTGGGCCTGTGGGCAAGATCCCCACTGAGAACCAGCTCTTCTCAAAGAAGCTGCCCAGAGACAATCGTACCCTGGTTGTCCTTGGTCTCCTTGCAAGGGAGTGGAGCTGTCCTCCAAAGCTGGTTCCTCCACGGGCAAGTGCACCCCAGCCACACTCCCATAGGGGCCAAAGCAAGCCTAGCGCGTGGTCTCAGGGACCACATGGGGACAGGAAGGCTGAAGCCAGGTTAGAGTCCTTGGAATCCACCCCTCAAGACAAATCCTGGGATACAGGAAAGAGGCTGGAGGAACAAGGTTTATCTCTCCTGGGTGGAGCTGTTAGAGAGAGGCTGTTTGAGATGACCAAGAGCTCGGGCACCTGCTGCTCTCTGGCAATCTGAAAGCCAAAGGGGACAAACCCCACACACTTCCTGTTTCCTTGACTGCATATTACATTACCACGCAGGAATGCTTTAAGCTCTTCTGAAAATGGAGTTTTGAATCTCTGGTAATACTCATACAGCACCTGCTCTCAGTGAAACCCTTTCATGTCATCTCATTTACTCTCACAACCATCAGGGAAGCACTGGCCTTGCTGAGTCAGAGCCAGGGCCAGCCACCTCCCTCTCTAGGGTAGGGGGCAAGCCATTCACACCGTGGCCTCAGACCCCTGTGGTGAGCAGAGGAAAACGCCGGTCCTGCATGACCCATCTGGCGCCCTCAGCACTGAGCAATGTGGGTGGAGTCACCCCCCTCTGCAGGGGCTCTGTCAAGAACACCCCCAGTGTGGCACCTGCACTAGGCCACCAGTTATGGAGACAGAGCACAAGGACACTGTCTGACTGCACAGCTCAGGTGAAAGCAGTTGAACCATTTCACTTATGTGACCAAGGAGGGGAGGCCAGCAGAAACAGATGTGCCAGGTGGGGAGGGTGGGGAAGCACCTGATTTTCTGACTGTTTACCTCTGAAAAGGCCAGATAGAGACACCACCAAACCCACACAAGGACAAATGCAGAACAGCGTGACAGCTTCACTGCAGCTGGGCTGGGGCACAACAGACCCATTTTTTTTACTGAAGGACAATCACACTGTATTTGTGATTCCTCTCAAGCAATCAGACCCAATTCTGAAACTACTAATTTTTACACCACTGGCAAAAACTTTACCCTGATACTGAGAACAAGACAGAGGGCTCATGAAGATAATGTTCCCAAGAGAGACTATTCTCCCCTAGACTCCCTGAAACCCAGCATTTCCTGATTAACAATGGATAGTTTTTCCCTTTTGTTACATGCCTTCTATTTTTTTTTTTTAATTTTATTTTGGTATCATTAATCTACAATTACATGAAGGACATTATGTTTACTAGGCTCCCCCCTTCACCAAGTCCCCCCACATCCCCATTCACAGTCACTGTCCATCATCATAGTAAGATGCTGTGCATGCCTTCTATTTTTTAACAAGACGTCTTCATTAATAAAAACATGGAACATCTTTGTGTCTCCAAGCTATCTGCCTATGTTAAGAACCTTTGGCATCCTTGAACATCCACTCTGCAATGTTTACAAGTGACCCTACAGGTCCAGGCCACAGAGAGATGTTTCTCATGGTTGCAGCATGAACCTACTGCCTCCCCGTGAGGGTGCAGAGTGGAAATGTGGCACCTAGAGCCCAATGTGGGTTTTCCTTTGAATAAGACTTGCTCTTTTAAGGGAAGGGAAGAAAACACTGAGGGGAAGCCATGCTATTTAGCAACAGCTGTCCTAGTGAGAATTCTCACAGGTCTTGGTAAAGGGGGCGTCCACACCATCTGAACTTTCTTCACAGAACAAGGGAAGAGAACTGAGGCAGGATGGCAAAAGGAGACGAACAGCTTGAGCTCACCTTGAGAGCCTTCTCAAGCTTACGATCCTTGTCTTTCTCTTTTTTAGATTTCTTCTTGGCCACTTCGTCCATTCCATCCACCTCATCGCCTTTTCTCTTTCTGAGAGAAATCAGGATATAAGTGAGAAGAATAAGAGCCATTAACATTCTGAAACCGAGGGACCTGACTAACACAGAACCTTATGTCATTCACTGTCCCCTCTGCCAGGCTCTGACATGCTTGCGATTCACTTGGTGCTCTCAGGAGCTTGCTGTCTGCTTGGAGGTATGTGCAGCTGACACCATGGCTTCAGAACACTCTGTGCCACAGAGCAGTGCAGGGGTTGCTCCAGGGCACTGGACATCCAAAACAGAATCAAGGGCTCAGGCCTCATCTGATGTCAAAACTCCCATAATTTCTTGGCACAACGCATTGGCCTGGAAGGTTCTGGCAGGAGCTATGCTTGAAACACCTGCCCAAGGAGATGTGCCATGGAGGGGGCTAGACCAACCAGGGGCTTCAGACACACATTCAGGGACGGCCCTGCAGCCTTCCCTACCCTGTCCTCCCAACCAGGCAGGGAAGCAGCAGAGCTCTGCTGTCACCACACCTAGGTCTGCACCCCCTGGCTTTCTAACCATAATAAGGGGAACACAGGGGTGGTGTGTAACCCACTGGTCTCTGCACCTCCATCGGGACCCTTGCTGAGCGAGACCGTGTTTCCCGTGGCCCTCCACACACCCTTCACTCTTGACTCCTGGAAGATGCTTCTTCAGGGCTTCTTTATCCTCTGCAGTGAGGAGGCTGAAGCCCTTTAGCTGGCTCGCGGTATACTCAGCACAGAACCCCAGCTCCTCCCTGTTATTCACGAAGCAGCCTGGGTGGTACCAGCGGTCGATCACGCCCAGCTGAGGCTTCTCTGGGTCCAGCATCTTCTTAGACAGGCGCACCTGGCCCTATGGGAAAACCATACATGGTACCAAGAGGGAGACAAGGAAGGGTGGTGAACACAAGGGGCTGGGGGAGACACAAGCCAGCCTGGGCTCCAGCCAGTGAGGGGTCTTGGATCCATGCCCAGGGCACCCCAACAGTTGTTGGGAGGTTTGGCCCTTATGCTACCACAGATTGTGTTACCCTCAAGCCTCAGTACCCCCGTTTTATATGTGGTCAACTCCAATAGCGACTATCTTCCCAGTGACCTGGACAGGTGGAAAGTGGTAATATTCCTGCAGATGTTGGGTAGATCTGGAGCAGGAATAAGGACACTGAACTGTGTCAAGGTGAGCCAGGGTCTGAACACCTAGGAGGCTTCACTGCAGATGCCTGATGCCAGTCAGGATTTCCAGCATAAGAAGTGGTAATTAACCAATAATGTTTATTCAGTAAGAACCAAGTCCTGCCATCCTGCCCAGGTCTCTAATTCTCAGGCCTGATATTCCTAGGAGTTTCAAGCCTGTGAGCCCCAGATTCCACCAACTTAGGCAAGGCGTGCTGGCACTACGTAAAGTTCAATTTCAGGCCAAGCAACACTCAACTGCGTGGTAGATTCAGGCACTGACCTTGGAACTTTAACTTTTGCTTCAAAAGTTTGATGGCTGAAGGTGGTTAGAGCATCTAGCAATTCCTTATTTTTCCTTTCTAAATCCCAGCTGGTTCACTTCCATTTCCTGTGCAATATTTTGAGGAGGCAGAAACTGTCAATCAATTCCTTAAACTAATTAATGGGAATGTTTGCTTAAGATGAGAATGGTGACAAGGCTGGGAGGCACGGGACTATTGTTCTGTGTCCCTGGCTATGTGGATAATCGTTCATTCTGCCTGACTGGCTGTCACATTCTTTAGGGACCAGACTGTGTTCATAAGCTTCCTCTGATTATAGAGGAAACCTTAAAGCTCAACCAGGAAGCAAACCCACTCAAGTGTAATCCTACCATAAAACACAGACCAACAGCTTCTGCTGCCCATCCTGGAGCCCAGAAGAGGCCCCTTGAGTGAAGCTTTCCAGACCTTCCCAGGTCTTAGAAGAGTGGATGCAGCCACACACAGCAGCTGGACCCCGAGTGCTCACCTGTATGGAAGGAAGTCACTGCCAGCTCCTGTCTCAAAGATGTTCACTTCATTTTTAACCTCTAGTGTTGAGCTGGCATTTGAAGCCCCTGTTTTTCTTTTCTCTCAAAACGTCCAATGAAATCCAATGCAAGAAATCCCTACAGCCTGGCCGTCTGAGCTCCCAAGCTCTCACCTTCTCAATCTTCTCCATGCAGCCCTTGCACGTGCTTCTGTTGGACTTGGCGTACTCCGCTGCAAAGTCCCCCAGTGTCTTCTCCATCTTGCTGCCACCTCCATCTGCACCTTTGTCTGAAGCATCGAACACAGCAACTCACCTCAGCAGCCTCAGAGCATAGCTCCAGAGAGCCCCTGGTCTCCCTACACGCCCTCCCCAGGCTCCTTCCACCAGGACACCTTGTGTTTGGGGTGACTAAAACTGGCCCATCTCATCTATGTCTGTTTCTGACAACTGTCAGCCTCTTTCCTGGCACTAAAATAAAAAAACGTTCCCAGACAAGCTCTTTGCACAGCATGTTAGGTGGTAGCTGTCTCACCTTCCAGCTCTTCCGCGGCCTCTGGACCCCTCCCTTACCGGAAGGTACTTACCGCCAAAGCCCTGTACCACATGGAATTCTAACCCCACCTTCTAATTTCTACTATACTTTAATCTAAGTTAAATGTTGAGTCAAAAGGAGTACCTTGAAATAGAATCAGACACAAGTACATGTAAGTGTTAAACAGATGGTAAAGGGCGTTTCCTACTAGGTTCAATCACTCAGTAAGGAGTTTTGAGAGTACATGGCCAAGCATCCAGGACCAAAGCTAGATTCTTCTGTTAAACGGAAATAGTTCTAACACGAACTGTTTCTCTCCTACAATCAGGAACAAGACTGTCTCCTCTCACCATGTCTATTCAACATTGTATGGGAGGTTCTACTAAATGCATTAAGATAAGAAAAAGATGTAAAAGTTGTAAGTTTAGAAAAGAACAAGTAAAGCCGCCTCAGTTTGTAATCCCGACACCTGCTACATGACAAGCCTCGAAGACATTATGCTGAGTGAAATAAGCCAGACACTAAAGGACCACTACTGCGTGGTTCCACTTACACGGGGCACGCGGGGTAGTCTAATTCAGAGACAGAAATATAGTAGTTAACGAGGGCCAGGGGAGTAGAAATAGACATTATTTTGTAATGGGTATTTTGGGCAAATGAAAAAGTTCTGCAGATGGATGGTGAGAATGGCTGCACAATAATGTTAACAGACTTAATGTCACCAAAACATACACTTTAAAACTGTTAGATGGTAAATATTGTGTTGTGCCTATTTTACCACAAAAAAGGTGACTGAGCATTTAAAAAAGGTATTATATTAGGACAGGATCCCATTTCTGCAAAAAAAGAAAAATATATACACATACACACATGAATTAGTATTTGAACAGAAAGCAATTATCTAAGGAAGTACTCCATAATGCTAATGATAGTTATCCCCAAACTGCAGTATATGGGATGATTTAAATGTTTTCTATGTCTAAATATATTAAGTTGGGCTCTTTGGATGAAAAATACCTTAACAATTAGTAGGAAGTATTTTTATGATTGTTTCATAAAAGAAACACGCTTATAGCAAAATGACTGCCTTTTCATATTATAAAATTATAATTTGACACATGTAAATTATAACTAGATACAACAATCTAGACCCCTAAATGGACAACCCTACTACCCTGACAATGACCACAGAATGGAAAGTTCTGTCACACCTGTCCTCTGCTAAATCCACATTCTCCACCTCCTCTTGGCAACAGCCTCTCATTTTTATTCACAATTCTAGCTGTGTCACTCATCTCTCAGTTTCCAGCAGATCAGAAACAGCCGGAGACAAAGACAGTCAGAGAACACCATTTGGCACAGGTCCAAGGGGATCTGGGGGGAAGGGCAGCTGATGTTCCCATCGACAGCCTATCCTAACAGCTCAGGGAAAACGGGGCCAGCTTAGGAAGGCAGAAAAATTAGAACACAGCCCCAGATCTTCAAAGGGATGAAAAATAAACAATTTAAAGGTGCCTCCGCAAGTTAAGTCTGCAGGGGCGACGACTGAAGCTCACGTGGAGGAAAAGGACCCAGGACGGCTGCCACAGTGAAGAACCAAGCTGGAGAACTGACACCACCGGGCACCAAAACTTCCCATAGCGCTGCCATAATCAAAGTGTGGTACTGGCCAAATGAACCGACAGGGAGACGGGAAGGACCCATAAACACGCCCACACCAACATCGGCAACTGATGTGTGACGAGGAGCACAGAATGCAGCAGAGAACAGAGGCCTTCCAACACGGGGCGCTGCAACTGCTGGACATGCCCAGGCAAAAGAAGGGCACACGGATTTTACACCCTCCACAGAAATTAACTCAAAATGGATCATGGACTTAAAAACCCCAAATCACAAAACTAGGACATAACACAGAAGAAAGTCTAGACGACTGTGGTTGTGGTGATGACGTTTTAGACACGAGGCTAAAGATTTATGAAAGAGAGAACTGACCAGCTGGACTACACCAAAACTGCAAGCTTCTGCTCCGGAAGAATGAGAAAGATGACAAACCACAAATTGGGAGACGGTATTTGCAAAAGACACATCTGATTAAGGATTGCTGTCCAGAACACACAAAAAACTCTTATTACTCAAGAATAAGAAAAGGAACAAAAACCAGGCAAAATACCTGAACAGACTCCTGACCAAACATGTGTACACATGGCAAAGACATGACAAGATGCTCCACATCATATATCATCAGGGAAATGTAAATTAAAACCACTACAACACCTATTTGAATGGCCAAAAAAATCCAGAACACTGACACCACCAAGTGCTGGTGGGGATGTGGAGTAGCAGGAACTTGTTCATTGCTGGTGGGAGGGCAGACTTGTGTGGCCGCTTTGGAAGACAGCTGGCAGCTTCTACAAAACTAAACATACTCTTCCCATACGACCCAGCGATCATGCTCCTTGGTATTTACCCAAAGGAGCTGAAGATTTATGTCTACATAAGAACCTGCACATGGAAGTTTACAGCAGCTCTATTCATAACTGCCCAAACTTGGAAGCAACCAGATGTCCTTCAGTAGGTGATGGATAAACAGGGGTACAGCCAGACAACAGAATATTCTTCTGTGCTGAAAAGAAACAGCTTTCAAGCCGTGAAAAGACAGGGAGGAAACTTAAATGAGTATTACCAAGTGAAAGAAGCCAATCTGAAATGGCTACATACTGCATGATTCCAAATATATGACATCCCTGGGAAAAGCAAAACTATTGTGTCAGTAAGACCCAGTGGTGTGATATTAAGGGAGAATCAGCAGAACATGGCATTTTAAAGCAGCGAAGCTCTAAAGGGTATGTGTCCAAACCACAGCACACACGGCACGAATTGAGTCCTCATGCAACTGTGCACTCTGGGTGACTCTGACACGCCAGTGCAGGTTCTTCAACTGTGACAAATGCACCACCTTGGGGGAGGATGCGCCTGTGGGGGCGCTGGGGGTGCATGGGAACCCTGTACTGTCTGCTTCATTTTGCTGTGAACCTAAAACTGCTCTGAAAGATAAAGTCTATTGAAAACAAAAACAACAACACATTTAAAAGGCTACATCTCAACCATGGGGAGAAGTAAACATTTTGCTAAAGGACATGCTGGTCAGAGGAGCTGCAGCACTGGGGCTGGCTGACCAGCTCGCACACATGGGCAGCAGAGAAGGGCTGAGGTGCCCTCCCAGCAGGGTCTGCTCCCACCTGTCACTCCTCCAGCCTCCGCCGTCTTCTTGATCTTCTGCTGGTCGTCCCACCGCAGTCCAGAAAACCCCTCCACCTCGACATCAGGGTGCCGGATGCAGTGGCCGACCTTCCAGAAGCAGGAGAAGTGGTACCAGTGCGGGACCTTCCCGTCGAACATGGGTGACTACGATGGGACAGAGTGCAGTGTGTGACCAGCTGCTCCCCCTGCCTCCGAGGTAAACCTGTTTCCCTGTTTGCTTTTCCCTAAGGCGAGGAGGCCTTGCCCAGACCCTCCAAGTCATGGGCCCAGAGCTACACACACAAGGAAGCCACCTCCCATTTCTCCCTTCCCCAGTTCTTCAGGCCCACACCACCCATGGGAAGGCACTACTTCTGATTATGTGCTGTTGTGTGCGAGGGAGGGTCCCCCACAAGACACCTACTGTGTCCCCATCCCCTGCGCCTGCATGGCCCAGCTGAGTACCTCTGCAGTAGCACTCAGACAGGACAAGTCAGATAATGAGCCAGGCAGAGAAAATGTGTCAGAAAGCAGCAGCTGCACTGATGGGGGGCATGAATGTGTCTGTGAGGGAAAAAGGTGGGGGTGGGGTGGGGAGTGGCAGGCCAGGGAGGGCAAAGGGAGATCTCCCCAACTGCAGCCAGTCCCTCTCTCCTGTGAGGCTTTACCCAGCGGGGGTACTGACTTGATAGCATTGAGCCTTTCACTGTGACAGGGACCAAGCAGAGTGGGTCCCTGTAATTTCAAAAGCCATCATGTATAACTCCACAACTGCCTCTGGTGGGGACCAGGACCCTCACTTCACAGATGCCTTGGGCTATGGGTGACACAGGCAGGTGACTCAGCCCCAGCTTGAATCCGACACCATGGTTCTTTCTGCCACACTGCTTGGAAGGAAGAGCTGCTTAAAAATACACAAATGGTTCTGATTGAAGCAAGGGGGGCCCCAAACATCTGTTTCTACAGAACATAAAGCTGAATGTCATGCAGATGGAATGAGGATATTATAACAGCATTAAAAATAACTACTATTCACAACTTTTAAAAAAAGGTGAAGTTGTGGGGATAGGGGAAATATGCTGAAAAGGCAATGTCAAGGCCTCCCGACCAGCTCGCTCTCACCGTGCAAGGGACCTCTTTCCGGGAGTAAAATATTAGTGTTCAGGCGGGCACTTTGAGGACCCCTGGGTTCAAGCAGCCTGCACCACCCCCTGGGCAGGGCTCAGGGCTCCAGACCTGCTGGGAACAAATGGCATGTCCAAAACTCCACAGATAGAACTGTTAGGGGATTTGAGTCCTGTCTGGCTCTCTAGTTTTAAATGGTTAACTCGCTGAGTCCCTTTTAGTGGGCTTTATCGGCCTTTATTCTCTCTCCACCCGACTCATACCTACTTTCCTGCCCAACAGAACTATCTCCCAGGATGCCTATTTGGTCAACGCCTGTGTCCTGCATTGTATCAAAGCTCCAAGGGGCACGATGCCATCCTGCTAGCACTGACACTCCAGCCTACAGATGGCACTCTGTGGAATGCCCCAGGTCTGGGGGGAAGGAGGAAGGACAGGGCATTCCTTCTGTGGAGAGGATGTTCCCTCCAAACCAGACAACAAACAGCACTTCAGAGTGGAATGGTGTTTCCACCACGGCAGCTCACTCACCCTCAAGCACTGCCCATCTTACTACAGCCGCTGTGGCCTTAACCTGGCTCTTCCTGCCTTGGGGCCCTTGTCTACCTCACCTCGCAATGCTCAGCTTACACCTGTGAACAGATGTGCGTGGCTCAGTGGCTTTGTCCTATGTAGGAACTTGTGGGGGGTGGCATTTCTTCTTGGCTCAGTCAGGGCCCAACATCTGCCCCAACGTCTGCCCCTCCAAACCATGGTCCCCAGCCACCCACCCAGTGCAGCGTCAGACATGTTGCCCAAGGGCATATTCACAGCAACATCTTGGGGACTCTCTCTAAAGGAAGAACCTTTGACTAAAGTGAGAATTTAAGGCTGAGAACGTGGCAGGAAGAGAACTAGACTAGGGTCACAAGACTGGCTTTCACTTGGCAGCTACAAGGTAAAGCTTGAGCAAGTGGCAGACGCTGGCTGTGTATTCAGCAAACACTGAGCACCCACCATGTCCCAGAGTCCGCAGCCAGCACCTGGCCTACTTCCTCCTGTGTGAAACAGGCCATTACACTGCCCGCCTACCCAGATGCCTAACCCAGATGGCTGGCCACTGGCACACAGTATGCGACCACGCTGTTCGCCTCAGGCCTGTCCAAGGCAAGGCAGAACACTGGGCCCACCTCATCCCCCACCACTCCCACCACCCTCACTCCACACCCCTCATCCCAGTTCAAAGGCTGGAAGCCCGGTTCACCCCCTCGAGGCTGCCCGGGACAGGCCTGGTGAAGTATCAGGTATTTGATACTCAAAGAACAAGCTTCTCATACAGATGCCAAAGGCAGTATTCAAAACTAAATGGCAAGAACGGCTTCCTTCTTTCCCGCCTCCACCAGCTCAGCCGGCCTACAAGACCAACATTACAATCTGAGTTAGAACTCCACCCCAATTACAGAACACCACACCAACTTTTAATATTAGTAATTTCTTTCACTGTCAATCATGCCAAATGAAGGCACGAAAGGTTAAACATCATTCGGTTCAGGAATCGGTTCCTCAATGGGGCCATCACCCTATGGGTGTCTTAAAAATACAGAGAATACACAAAGGCTCACAAAAGAAACCAATTATTCTGAAATAATTACCAAAACATTTAAAAGTTTACTGGGTCATGCTACTGTTGAACTTGGAAAGATGTAGCAAGATTCAGCATTCACTCTAATTACTGGAGTTTTGTTGTGATGAGCGTAAATGATATTCTGACAACCTCCAACAGATGTAAAGGGAGGTGAAAATGGCTATAATTACTGTAAGGTGACCAAAATCACAGGTGGAGCAAATATGCCTTTGCTCTGCAATTTACATTACTAATTAGGGAAAGAAGGTATTTTATTTAGAGGTTAGTGAAGATAGGGATGTACGTTTTTTTCTCATGTGAACTCATGCACTGTTTGGGTTCTACCTGCCATCCCAGATTGCAGGTTAAGAACCCCTGCACTAGAAGGGAGCTTCTCAAGAGCAGGCCACCCATTCGGGGGAAAGTTCGAAGACTTTAGTGGAAGATACAGGTCTTCAAAAGTTGGGCCTTGTCTGCTTCTCCATCTGCAACTCCCTGCCACTTCTGTGATGCTCCCAGTTCAGCTCACACATCCATCCAGGGGCAGTCACCCTGAACAGCAAAGTTCACCAGTCATCTTCCCTTTAACCAAACTGGATGCTGCCAAGGGCAGTCGCTGTGTTTCTAGTACAAACACAATGCCTAATACTCACCAGGTGCTCAGTATTTAAATAATGAGTAAGTACTGAGTGACAAGCAGTGAGCTAGGTAGGCTCTGAGGGGCCCACAACTGCAGTTTCCAATGAAATGGGATGACCTAAGTACTTGTCATTTGGAACTCACTCTCCTCCACCGCACAAGTAGAGAAAATCCAGCAGTAACTATCCAGTCATACCCAAACACATTACTGCCTCACTGCTGGGAGAATAAAATCATTTACTTTGACCATGAGTACCACTGTTGGTAACAGACAGCTTTACTTTGGAGGAGGGGTTGGAGGGGAAAAGTGAAAGCCGGACTACACCCATGCGGGCTGGGGGCTGGGGAAGTAGGGGCCTTGGGCACCTCCCGGCTCACCCACTCTGCCCTGAGTCTAGGGAGATGGGTAGCCACCCCCCAACCCCCGCCCAAGTTTATCAACTCCATCCCAGCCCCTTAGCCCGAGGACACGGAGAATGTCCCCCAGTCTATCAACTGCACCCCGTCCCAAAGCCTGGGAAACGGAGGGGGCCCCCGACCTTCAACTCCATCCCGTCCCGAAGCCTGGGGCTGAGGGGCCCCCAGTCTACTAAGAAGCCGAGAGAACTCCCAGCCACGCTCGCTCAGACTAGGCAGCTGCAGACGCACAAAGAAAACATGTGACCGGATCCAGAAAGTCGGAGGGAAAATAGTGTTTTAAACCACAAATTAGGCCCAAACTGAATGGAAGGCACAGAAATGACGCCAACTTGTAAGGTTCTGCATAATTAAGAGAACAAGGGTGAGCGTGCTGAACTGATACCCCAAAATAGATTAAAAAAAATTCGCGAGCCCGTCGCCCCCATCAACAGAGGATGAAACCTCCTGGACGAAGTGGCCAAGGGTGGGCGGCCTGGCGAACGCCCCGAGGAGCAACGTGCCCTGGAGCGTATAGCCCGCGCCGCGCGCCCGCACCTGCACCATGATGGCCATCCGCAGCGAGTCCTTGGCGATGCTATCGCCGCATTTCTTGCATGAAGCGCGGCCGCTCTTGGCGTACTCGACTCGGTAAAGCCTGTCCGAGGCCTCGGCCATCCTCGTGCCCTCTCTGCTACGCAACTTGGAGACACGCCGTTGCAGCCCGGCTCCCGTCCGCGCGTCCGCTAGCTCGCCAGCCCGCTCCCCGCGTGCTTACGGCCGACGTCGCGTACGCAGAGCACAGCGAGTACGCCGCGCCCCGATAGACTGCCAATGCCAGGCCGCGGGAACGCCCCCTGATGCGTCATGGGGTGGGGCCGACGTCGCGCGCTCGCGCGCCTTCGCACCGCCGGCCAGAGGGCGGTTGGGTCTGCTCTGCGGCTGCGCGGGCTGGGTCTGGGTCGGGGCTTGGAGGGTCGGGCCTGGATCTGGGACGGGGCTTGGTTGCACCCGCCGCTTCCGGCGCCCCTGCGCCGCTAAGTGACCGCTGCATGCCGGCCAGGCGCACGTGCTGTCACTGCTAGTGGTTCCAGCCCTGTTAATAAGAGCAGCCTCCCCTGGCGGCCGAGGTCTGGGGTCCCTGGACTGGCTCGGGACGGGCCAGATCTGTATCCCGCTGGCATCGGAGGTTCCATTGCAATGTTAAGGGTCCCGGTGACTGTCAGCAATAGTCAAAAGGGCTGCAGCTACTACAGCTTGTTAATGTAGAACTATATATAACTGGTTTATTTAATAATCCTAGCGTTTCATTTTATTCATTTAAGACATAACTATAGCATAGTGTGCTGTATTTGAGACTATTCAGTTCTGCTGTGGGGACAAGAAAAAGGAACAGGATGCATGAAACTCATTAAAATGCTAAGCATAGAGGAGAAGAAAGCTAGTAGCTTAAAAGACTTGTGGAGTAGACAGCAAGTAGTGAGACATAGACAAGAATCTTGTTAGTGACCTGTTAGATGTGCTGAAGGTAAACAGTAAGTGGGATACAGGATGGCATAAATAAAAGAACTTAGCAACCAAATAAAAAATCAGAATCATTGGACCTCTGGGTTGACAACCATATCACCTCTAAATGGCCATCACTGGCGGTAACATGGTCCCATTCTAGTTACCATATGCTCTGTGCAAGGATTGCAGATAAACCCATGCCTGCTCAGCAGGCTGATTGGTGATCTACCTATAGCCAGATGTCCCTCTGACTGGTGACTGAGTTGATTCCAGTTACTCTGCTGAATAGCCCTGAGCATCCTCAGCTCTGGTACTTATAACCCTTCCATCAGTGGGGCTGGCTGATAATGGCAGAGAGAGACAGAACAGGCGAACATTGCACAACCCAAGGTTTTGATGGTGTGGGCCTTCTGTCTTGCCTCTATCCTGTCTGGTGCCTTCTACCCACGTGGTTCCCCTTGAGTAGAATGGCTTGTCTGATGACTCACCCTTCCCTCCTGCAGCAGTTGAAAGATGCCCTTCGTGCCTCAGGGAATCCGACACTCCTGGAATGGCTGACGGCTGCCATCAGGGCAGTTTGGCCTAATCAGAGTGGTTGACCGTCTTTACCCAGTAGTTGGAAAACATGTAGAGCTACAACAGGTACTGTGGGAATTGGGTATGAAAAATATCGTTTATAATATGGACCCTCAGGCCCCAATGAGGAGGTGTTCACTGTAGGAATGAGAAATCTGGTGCTGCAGAGAGCTCCCACATCTCTTTTTGGATCCCTGGTGACTACTCTTGCATCCACATAGGGTAACTCATAGATGAGGCTACTCGTACTTTAGCAGTTCTGGGGGAGGTTGAAGGAAGTATGGGCTATGACTGAAAGGAGAAGTGCAAAAGGCCCTGCGAAGGTCTCGAGGACCCAGACGTGGGTTAATTTGATAAAGGCCGGGGTAGTGAAAGAAAACTTTGATGGGCAGCCCAATAGAATCTTGTTAGAACTATGGCATCAATTAAAGGCAGAGCAGCAGTTGCAGCAGCTGAGGTCCAGGACATGGAAACTGGAGTCAAGGCCTCATGCTCAGCCTTTATCCCTGCAAAACTTCTGGGGGACAGTACTCACGATTCGCCCGAGCCCTCACCCCCGCAAGAGGATGATTGGGCATCGCGGTTCAATTGAGGGGGGGGGCAGTCAAAAGTTCCCACCTTGGGGGACATGGTAGGGACCAGAGGCCACATATAGTATTAGCAACTCATTGGTCCCCTGTGAATGTACAATGTTTCCTGGTGCTGGTGGACACAGGAACTAAGTGTTCTCTGATTTATGGCAACCCTGACCGTTTTCCTGGGACTCCTGCTGTGATAGATGGCTATGGGGGTAAGGCAATTAGACTGAAGAAAGCCCCAATCCCATTGGGTATAGGGCGTTTACCCCCAAAGGAGTATGCCTGGGGGGCACAAGGAAATTGGAGAAACTCTACAGAAGTTGGAGAAGGCAGGCATCATAAAGCCCACTTATAGTCCTTTTAGTTCTCCAGCGTGGCCAGTGAAAAAGCTGGACAGCTCCTGGCATATGACTGTGGACTACAGGGAATTGAATAAAGTCACACCCCCTTTGCATGCACACATTCTGGACACCCTCAGCCATGATCTCAGAATGTATCGCTATGTAGTAGACCTTGATAATTATTTCTTCTCTATTGTCATAGCACAGGAAAGTCAGGAACAGTTTGCCTTTACTTGGGAAGGCCGGCAGTGGACATTCACTGTCCTTCCACAGGAATACATCCACAGTCCCACCATCTTTCATGGACTTGTAGCCCAGGACTTGGCCACATGGAAGAAACTGCAAATTGTGTGGTTGTATCACTACATTGATGGTATTATGCTCACATCTGATTCTCTTTCAGATTTAGAAGGGGCAGTTCCTAGGCTGTTGCAATGTCTACAGGAAAAAGGATGGGCTGTGAACAGCACCAAGGTTCAGGGACCTGGTTTGTCTGTAAAATTCTTGGGGACTGTCTGGTCGGGTAAAACTGAAGTTGTTCCTGAAACAGTCATAGACAATTTCCAGGCTTTCCAACACCCCTACCACTGTGGTAGTCTTACAAGAGTTTTTGGGTCTTTTGAGCTCTTGAGGAGTGTTCATCTCACACTTGGCACAAATTCTGAAGCCCTTATACTGGTTGGTATGAAAGGGCATCAGGTGGGATTGGGATGAGACATGTGCAGCTGCTTTTACTGCTGCTAAGCAAGCTGTCAAGGCCATGCAGGCCTGAGTGTAATGGACTCATCAAGGCCCTGTGAGCTAGATGTTCACGTAACCGAAGATGGTTATGGATGGGGTCTTTGGAAGTGGCTTGAACAGACACACCAAACTATTGGATTCTGGTCAAACTATGGAAAGGTGCAGAGGTCTGGTACACCTTGATAGAGAAGCCAGTGCTGTATACCATGCCTTGTTGGCTACGGAGCCCATTGCTGGAACAGCTCTTACCAAGGTAATAACCACCTATCTCATTGTGGGGTGGGTGAGATACTGGACCCAAAGGCCATGGAGTGGCATGGCACAGATGCCTACACTGGCCAAATGGGGTGCATATTTACAGCAGTGCAGTGCCCTCTCTACTAGCCCCTTAAGTGGAGAACTCCAACACTTATTGGGGCCAGTGACCTATACCAGTGGAAAGCAGGAAGAACTTGTTTTTGAGCCACTGGAAGCTGAGGGTCCTTATCAGGAGGGAAAAGCCCTTATACCTGAAGATGCTTGCTTTACAGACAGCTCCAGTTGTGGGCAGCCCCTGAGGTGGAGGGCTATGGCTTTCTATCCTAAGACTGAGACAATGTGGATGAAGGATGGAGAGGGGAAGAGCAGCCAGTGGGCTGAGTTGTGGGCAGCATGGCTCGTGATCACCCAGAAGCCTTCCCCCATAGTTGTCTGTACTGACAGCTGGGCTGTCTATCGGGGCTTGACCCTGTGGCTACCTACATGGTATCCTGCCAACTGGATGGTTGGTCACTGGCCCTTTGGGGGCAAGAGTTGTGGCAAGATCTATGGGCCTCTGGTCAGACTAAGACTGTTACTGTATATCATGTGACTGGCCATTTGCCTTTGGCATCCGCAGGGAATGATGAAGCAGACACATTGGCCCTGGTGCATGGCTAGAAGGAAAGCCTGCCTCTCATGTGGCCCAATGGCTACACCAGCATTTGTTGCACACAGGGCAAAAGACAATGTGGGCTGTAGCACATCAGTGGGGCTTGCCATTGACCTTTGAAGAAGTCAGCAGAGCCCGGAAGGAGTGCCTTGTGTGCTCTAAGAGAGACTTATACTGAGTCCCACAGCAACATGGGACAGTAGTAAGGGGACCAATAGCCCTTGTCAACTCATGGACATTTCGACTCAGTGGAACAGACTATACTGGGCCTCTCCCCATATCAGAAGGATATCGGTAAGCCATGACTTGTGTGGACATGGCCATTGGTTGCTTTTCCTGCATTTCATGAAGATCAGCAAACCACCAAGAGGGGCCTAGAGCATCTCTTTGCAGCCTATGGCCATCCGCAGGTGACTGAGAGCGATCAAGACACCCACTTTACTGGACATGAATTGCAAGGATGGGTGCAGCAATTAGGAATAAAGTGGAAATTTCATGTACAATATAACCCTAGTGGGGCAGGCATGATAGAGAGGTACAATGGTTTGCTGAAATCTGGCCTGAAATCAGGCACCAATAGTCTACAGGGCTGGTCAGTTCGCCTATGGACAGTGCTGCAGCATTTGAATGAGAAGCCACGTAGAGGAGCTTTGAGCCCTGTGAATATGCTAACACACCATGCTGTCTCTCCTATACAACTGTATGTGCAAACCAATGAAGAGTTATTGAAACCAGGATATGGCTAGCAGAGCAACATCCTGCTGCCAGCCCCAACTGCATTAAACCCTGGAGACACTGTTGAATGGATGTAGCCCTGGACATTTCAACTCATGGACTGGTGATGGCTGGCCCTTCTGGCACCTTGGGGAAAGGGCCTGGAAGCTGGTTTCCTGTGTATTTCCAGAATAACAGCAAAGTTATTTGCTTCTACAGTCCTTGTTTCCTGGATTTGCCCCCTGGCTGCAGGTGCTGCATGACAGCTGGAATGAACATGCTTTGGACTTAACCTGTGGGACTTTGAACCTAGCTGAATCCTCTGGCTTGAGAATTATGATTGTGTTGCTGTTGCCAAAAAATAAATGCTTAAAGAGAGGCTTGTCTTTGTCTAATATTCAGTAAAAGTTTTGTGAGTAATCTAGCATGGTT